AGAATATTTTTTTCAGCTCTAACAATAGCCACCTTGAAGCTCAAATAATCGATTTTTAATATATAAGTATTATAAAACGCGTATTTTATATATAGGTATGTTAATTTATCGACTTTAGAAAGAATACGGACCAGCATCTAGTAGCCACTTATTAAAACCTTGTTGCTCTTCTCGGCAATCCAGGGAAATAGTTGGAACTGCTTGAATAGTATCAGACTTCTTTTATGTTCTTTTATAGACTGACATTTGGGTACTTAAAAGGTTATGACGACCTCCCAGAGGAAGGCTTGTGTAAATAGTGCAAAAATTCATACTATGTACAAATGGAAGTGAGCAAGTAATGCACGTGCTATGCTATGACTATGAAATGTGGTGTTATGACTTTGCAAAATAAATTCACATCCATAACATTCTCTCACCATTGTATTTGACTACTTGACCGGAAAATTATCTGCTACTCTTTGACTCATCTTTGGACATTACCGTCACCTTATTCACTCTTGAGTATCTTTCACTCATCAGAAACAATCTTGGCTTTAATTTAATAGGATTATACAATAATATTTAAAGATACATCCACGAATATGATTCGAAGTTTTGTTATTGTGGCTAGTGCCCTGTTTGTCCCAAGTTTATGGAAAAATGTAAATATTTTAGAGTTACCACACACCCTATACGCAATTCAAAGATCCAATCTTTTTAATTCTTTTGTTATTTTAATTTATTTATATTTCGTTTATTCCTTTGTGACGTCATTTACACAAACACTGAATTTAAGTTGCCTGTATTGTGGATTGATTATTGAGCCTTTGTTTCCAATTAAATGGGGTCGAAGTAATTAATTCGATAATGATTAATTAAGGTTCCTAGTACAAACGAATTCAAAACTATTAACAATTTATCATAAAGGTAATTAAATTATTAATGTAATTAATTTACACTTAATAAACGTATCAATGGATAATATTGAGATTAAAAAATATATTGTTAAAGCATAAGCTAACTCTATAAAGAGTTTATATGATAAATATTGATGACATATGAAAAATGAAAACCGGGCATATTGATTGATTGATTATTCTTGTATAGAATGCTGGTTTAACACGAAAAGCCTCAGTTAAATTTTTCATATTACACATGTACAAAAAATATATTTCACTGCTTTAAATCTTATAAAAAAAAATCGTAAATATATAAATGACTTTACATAACGCAAACCCATAGATTCTTTCAAAGAGAGAGTTATAATTTTTATTTTACATTCATATAAGTATACATAAAACATTAGTAGTTATTTTCATGCTTTGTTAATAAATAGATATATTGATTGCAGATGCATGCATATTTTTTCATGCATGTTTTGAACACCGAAGATTTTCACATATTTATATGCATTTTCTCGCTTCCACAGTAATATTTACAGCACCATATATTTAAATGAACATTAGTGTGATGGCCCTATTAATTATATTGCAATTACCGATAGCGAGTAAGAAATTTCGTATTATATTTGTGTGGCAACCGTTGTCGCGTTATCATTTTGACTGAACAATAATTTAAAATATATTTAAAGTGTGATTCATTAGCTTCCTTGCGAGACGAATCTTGCTATTGTTATTTCTTTAATTCGCCGCGGAAATAACATAAGTAAGTCCTTCCATAAGTAATGTTCTATTTAATTTTTATTCGTTTGTATTTGCTTGTACGTTGTGTATGTGTAAACGCGATAGTTTTTTATAATCATTTGTGGAAGTCTGTGCAGATACATCTCATTAGACTTGGTGAACTAAGTTATTTTGTTGCTCGACACTATACGGGTTGGTACATTTTTCAGTTTATGGTTCTTTTTGAATTTTTATTAATTTTATTAACATTGCAATTGTTTTGAACTAATTTAAGGATTTGAAACGTTGTAAATTCCTTTTTACCTGAGTTATTTTATTATATATTTCTCAACTTTATGCCCATTTTGTTTAGGTAAGTATTTCTTTATTTGACTCTAACTCTTTTGTTGTTTTAATAGAAATAATTGCTAGGTATGTGACATATTTTTAATATATATTAAATTACTACAGAACAGTAATTCAAATTACTACAGAACCTATTTGATGTTTGTTAATCATAATTTAAATGAAGGTATATGTGGGATCAGTTATTCTTTTGTACTTTCAAGAATTCCTTTGTCATTTGTTTCGTAATGTTTCTGTATTTTTTTCCAAATACATATTAATACATGTGATCTCCTACTCACTAAATATGTCAAAAATATCACATTTTTTAATTTTATATAAGTACTTAATCATTTTGTTGTGCTTTAATGTCTGTTACTTCTTATAATCATTCACGGTTTTCTATTTGACTTATAATTTATAGCTACACATACTTATTTAGTTATTGATCACAGTTTAAAACAGTATCTTTAAGAATAATTTTTACTTTGACGAATACAGAAAAAATATTGTTTTCTCATTAGTATCCCGAAATGAAGAAAAAAAAATTGTCAAATTTAATATACATCAAAATAGAGTAAATACTATCTTTATCATTAATTTTTTATTGATAAATAATCTAAATTTAATTGGTCTTTAATTTTTTAATAATTGATATTTGAAAATATATTTAAATTTTTTTAAAAAGAATTATTTCGTCTGTGTAATCTGAAGAAAAATGTCAGTCTTGTACTATTTGGATTTAAAAAAATTACCTCTACCCTTAGTTTTAGTCGAAACAATAAAATTAAACACTTTTTTATCTGTTTTCAACCATAGACATACATATGATTATTTACAAAAGAAAATATAAGAGAAAATCGTTAAAAAAATCATTTAAATTTAAAATAAAATACTTTGAATTTTGTAAGAGTAACTTACTATATTAATTATCGTGAAATGCTATCCAAAAACATTAACTTTGTCTTCATCGCACTTCAAAGTTTAAGTTTAAGAACTAATGTTAATATCCATTAATATTTTTTAAATTTAAAACTCTATTAAATTTAAAACTTTTTTAAATCATATTCTCGAGAGTCTATCAACAAATCCTATTCAATATTCTAAAATACTACAAACGATAGTGGTTGAAATAACGTATACATACGTAATAGATTGTTCAACAATTAAAATGCAAATATCAAACATTTGTATAAATAAAAGTCTGTTTCCATGTGATATACATAATTAGTTTAAAAAGGACGTCTAAAATTGTAACATAGAATGTAGATAAATGGATTGAATTGTCCATAGAATAATCAGTGGTGGCCTAGTGGTTAAAGGACCGCCTCTCATGCATGAGGGAGCGGGTTCGATCCTGGCAAGTACCATGTTATTTTTCCGAGTCATATGTACTTTCTAAGAGTTTTTAGAGACCACTGCATTCCCAAAGAGTGTTGATGTTAGGCAGGCGGCCGGTCGTAAAAACAATTAGCCAAAACTATTCATAACATGTAAGGCAGACCCTGGCTTAAGCTGGGAAATTGCCAGGAAGAAGAAGAACTTAAATTAATTCCAAAATTCTGAGTTTATTAATATATATCCTTTTTTACATAGCTTACACAGTTTAATCCAAATTGATACCACGTATTAATGAAAATGATAATTAACTTATTTATACAAACAACGAGACGGTTTAATATAATTTAAAATAGTTTTATTCATGTTCATCTTTAACGAGTTGGAATTAATTGTAATAATTTAACCAATTATGGTTAATGTGAAACATTTATGGAAAAACATGTGAGTTGTTATTGAGTCGTGAGTGTCTTAACTATTAAAATTTCTTTACAAATACCTATTAGATGATGAACATTGATATAAATGAAGATATTATCGGATTAGGAAGCATAATTTATTACTTTTAAATACATACATACGTTTCGGTTACTTTGCAGGAACCTTGATCACGGGTAGACGAGATGTATGTAAAATATTAGTTTCATTTAAATGAATACTCGTGAAAATCTTAGATCTCATAATATAGATAAGTCACTAGTCACTTTTAACTAAAAACTTCTAATTTAATCTAATTATTTTACTTCTGTTACCTTCTGATTTTGCTTTATAAAGTATAATTTATATGATTGTCCAAAAATTAGTTTGTTTTTTCTTTTTGACTAACAATTTCCTGTTACCTTTTAGTGCTTTAGATTGCAATTATAAATTTTTTAATACCTTTATTTCTAAAATGATAAAGGTCAATCCTTGTGTCACGATACAAAGATACCTCATAGGAATATAATTACATGAATATTTAATATGAACATCTGATAAATTTAAAGCTTTGTTTTTCGTACCCATTTGGATAAGATATCATATTAACTTTTAGAACCAAAAATTTCTTTAAAAAACGACATTTTTTTACTATGGTTCTAAAGATAATAAAGATAATGTTTTTTCTCCAATAATCATCTAAAAAGGCTTTATTGAAAAAGATTAATTGTGAGTCTTTTCCTCGACCTCCCAGTCTTATTTGATCTGTTTGAAGGCTTCTTGATCAGTCTGAACCAAAAGGTCTAAAAACAAACTCAAGGAAGTAATAAAGCTCTTGTAATAAAAGAATCTTTGTCGTTTAATTGATAGCTCAGTTTTATTGTACAATAGTTTACCGGTAATAGGCCTTACCCTTGTAAGGGCAACAAAGTACTAAACCAATGTGTATGTGTATCAAAATATTTGTTTTTTGTTAAAAGAGTCACTTTATATATTAGTCAATAACAAACGTAATATTTAAAAATCATTCTGACAATTTCCGTATAGTCTTCTCCTACGTGACTTAAGAGGAATATGAAGCGCAAACGCATGCATATATTACAAAAATAATAATAATTAGACTAACTATTATTTATAATAGATATAAAATTCTGAATTGTCTTTTATTTGCAGGTCGCAGACACATCATATGTATATGATAACAGCTAGCCTTATTTGTTAGCCATATTAAAAATAGCATAACAGTTCTACCGCGCCAATGGAATGGTTGTGAATTTTTCTATCTGATGAGAAAAAATGAAGTATTCGAAAAGTTACACTGTTAATCAACTGTCTTCTGCCAAATTTAAGAAAAACTTATCGGAGGATAAAAACGGGTAAGATCATTTTAAATAATAATCTATGTCATAATATATAAAGTGAGAAAAAATATGTTTTTTGGTAATTTTTTTAAAACTTTGTGTTAACTGACAATAATTAAGCCCAAATTTCTGTCCAAGAATGCTGAAAATGAGTTAAAACTCAGTATGCTCGTAAAAAATCAACATCTGTTACAAGAAAAAATTTTATTACAATTTCTCATAACAGTAATATGAAAACACATTTTAATTAAAAAAGTTTTAATTAAATAAAATTAAAAAAAGTATTGTATAAAAATAAAATTTGTAATTAAAAAAGTATTTAGTATAAATTTTAAAACGTCGTAATGTAATTTAGGTTATACAAGCATAGTAGATAAGGCAAGGCTTAAGGGCTATTTCGAAATTGTAGAGAGAATAAATAATTGAATCAACGGTCAAGGACTTGGTAACTAGATAGTCCTACAGATGTTAAACCTTGAGAGATAACAAAATATTAAAATAATAACAATAATCACAAAAATAAAACAAAACAAAATATGCTATTACTTATGTACCATGTGTGTTAATAATAATCTAGTAATCTTTATTTTGCTTTAATTGCTATTGTAAGTAGTAAACGCTTTCTGAACTACATATATTATTAAATAAAATTAATATAAGTCTGAAATATTACGTTTATATTCAACGGTGCCTGTTTCTTAGTAAATCAGTGTTAATAATACAAAAAATAATTATAAACTGAAAATACAACAACCATCTTTTAGCGAAAGCAAAATTAAAGTTCAGTATATATTTATATAAATACTCTATTATTTTAAAACTAATTATATTTTTTTCTTTTATTTCATGATTATAACTATATATTCTGACATAAATTTAATTAAACCGATTTCTGATAAGAACAATTAATTTGTTTTATTCTTTAGCAATTAGTCTGGTTATACGAGTTTAGTATTTCAATATTCATAGCTTTTATCCTGACAATTTACATAATAGATATAAAAATGTTATTTGTAACTACGGAAGAACTTCTAATATTGAGATAAAAACATTAATATCATAGTACCTATATTTAGTCAGTGGTGGCCTAGTGGTTAAAAGACCCGCCTCTCATGCACGAGGGCGCGGGGTCAATCCTGGCCCGGGCAAGTACCGATGTGATTTTTCCGAGCTATATGTACTTTCTAAGACTATTTAGACATCACTGATTAATGTTGATTCCCAAAAGAGGGTTGATGTCAGGCAGGCGGCCGGTCGTAAAAACAATTAGCCAAAACTATTCACAGCATCTTACATGTTTACATGTTTTTGTCTGCCTAAGGGAGACCCTGGTTAAAGCTGGGAAATTGCCAGGTAGAAGAAGAGAAATTAATAAATAAAAATCTTTGTACATAAACACATTATTCATATCTCTCAAAATATTGTTCTATAAATTATTAAATTTACAATCTGTTTGTGTTATTCACCTTTACATTTAATACAACAAAATTACCAATAATTTAATGGAGTCACAAGAAGTGTAATTTTGACTTAAAATACTATAAAGGTTAAAGGTTTTAAGCATATTAATATATTGTCATCACATTTAATTTTATATCATCAGTATTCTCATACAACCAATTTGTACACACAGACACACATGTAGAACAACGTAAATACACATTATATATATATATATATGTATAATAATGTGTCTTTTATCATTTACAGCAATGTTGGAAAAGACACGGCCAAGAAAAATGTGGCGTCTAATATATCATTCAGAACGCTGGTGAGTTATTAAAAAATATAAACACAAGTAATAGTCCCATAGATTTCAAAAGTTTATAAAAACATTGCTTAAAATGAAGTTAATGAATGAGATCTAAGACTTTCGAGAGTATTCTTTTAAATAAAACTATTCTTTTCGAATCACGTTTGCTCAAAGTAACCGAAACGTCGGGCGTATGTAGTCCAAAATAATATAAAAGGAATATTTAGTAATCTAAAAAAATTACTTTCATTTAACCTTAATTATATGAATACATCTAGATCAGATTACATAAAAGTAATTACATTTGAATAATCATTTTTAATACAAAAACTTTCTATAATTTTTCCAGTTCCGTTTTGCCACAACGAAAGACAAAATATACATTTGTATAGCTGTTGTATCATCTATATTATGTGGATGTACCACACCAATAAATACTCTTCTCTTTTCTTCACTGCTTCAAAGTATGGTCAACTATGGAATATCATTGGTGGTAAATGACCCTCAACCTGATATATTGCTTAACGATGTACGAGAATTTGCTATATACAATGCAGTTTTAGGAGTTATAATTATTATACTGTCATATATAGCAACAGTTCTCATGAACATGTCAGCCTATAATCAGGTAATTATGACGAAAAAATTCCTTTAAAAGTAGAGAATTATTTTGTGTATAATTAACTGATACATTATCTTCAGGCACATCGCATTCGTCAAGAGTATTTGAGAGCTACATTGAATCAAGATTTTGAATATTTTGACACTCACAAGACCGGTGATTTTGCAAGCAAAGTCACTAAGTATGTTCCACACATTACTTTTTAAATTCTAGCAATTTTGTATAGTAAATCATACCTTACTAATAATATTAATATTTCAGCGATGTTTTAAAACTAGAGGATGGTATAGGAGAGAAACTAGCGACCTTCATATATTACCAAGTGACATTCATAAGTTCTATAATAATGGCGCTTATAAAGGGCTGGAAACTAACACTCTTATGTTTGATCTCGTTTCCTATCAGTTTAGTGTTAATTGGACTAGCGGGCTTTGTAAGATATTTACTTGTTTAACATAAAAATAAAGTTAGCTAAATTAAAACAAAGATTAATCAATTATCACATATTTTTGTTATTACAGTTCGGAGCACGAATGTCGTATGGAGAAGCTGTTTCGGCGGCAAAAGCTGGTTCTATAGCTGAGGAAGTACTCTCGTCTATAAGAACAGTATTTGCGTTTAGTGGACAGAAAAAAGAATTAAAAAGATACGAAAAATATCTTGTGGAAATGAGAGGATTACACGCAAAGAAAAGTATGAATAGCCAAATATAATGACATCTTAGATTTTTGCGAGTATTAATTTAAATAAAACTAATATTTTCGACATTGCTGCGCGCTTTTTTAGTTTTACAACTCTATAATCCCGATGTTTCGGTTCCTTTGCAGCAACCGTGATCACGGGACGACGGGATGAAAGTATCTCTCAATTAGTCTTGTTACTTGTCGTGTACCGCCAACAATTTCTCAATCTTCTAGCTTATCACTTTGCAAGAAGCAAGATACGTAAGAGAAGTAAGAAATCGTTGTAGATAGATGACAAATAACAAGACTAACTGATAGACACTTTCATCTCGACTGCCCGTAATCACGGTTGCTACAAAAGAACCGAAACGTCCGGATTATATGGTTGTAAAACAATAAAAAACTCCTAGTAATATCCAAAAACCTTAGTTTTATTTGTAGCAAAATACTTTTATAAAACTATTCAATAAAAAGTATGCTAAAAATAGTTTTTCCTACATATTTCTGTCTAATTCAAGTTTTTGTTGAAGTCAGTTGTGGACTATTGGTTAAAAAGCCCGTCTCTCATGCACAAGGGTGCGGGTTCGATTCTGGCAGTACCAATTTGATTTTTCCGAGTCACATTTCCTTTTTAAGAATATTTAGACATCACTGATTAATGCATTCCCAAAGAAGGTTGATATCAGGCAAGCGGCCGGTCGTAAACACAATTAAGCAAAACTATTCACAACATGTAAAGCAGACCCTGACTAAATCTGGGAAATTGCCAGGTAGAAGAATTTCTGTATAATTCAAAATAATTATATTTTTTGCAGGCATTTTCAATGGTATGTTGATGGGGTCGATATACCTATGTTTGTTTGGATCTTACTCATTATGTTTCTGGTTCGGATACAAGCTCATGAATGATGAACCAGAATTATATGACGTCAACACTATGGTTGCTGTAAGTTAAAAAAATTATTAAAATATCCATGATGAAAAAATCCAAAGTCTTTTTGCCGTTTTAATTCAACTGAATATTTATCAATGAAAATCAATTGCAGGTACTTTTTAGTGTATTAATGGGTTCAACTAACTTTGGTATTTCGTCTACCCTCATGGATGTGTTTGGAGTAGCACGTGGCGCTGGTGAACAAATTTTCAAATTAATAGACAATATCCCCAAAATTAATCCACTACTAAACCTTGGAATCACCCCCCAAAGTATGGAAGGAAACATTGAATTCAAAAACGTTTTCTTCCATTATCCTTCTAGACCTAACGTCAAAGTAAGTTCCAATACCTCATGATTAGTTTTTATTACATATGTATCTGTTTGAACAAAAATATGTTTGTAATTTTTCTTTTTTGAATATTTGAGTACAGAAATAAACGAATGTATTTTTGTAGATATTAAAGGGCATTAATCTCAGTGTCAGCAAAGGGCAATCAGTTGCGTTAGTTGGCCATTCAGGTAGCGGCAAGTCTACTATCGTACAACTGATATCAAGGAATTATGATGTAATAGATGGTAGTGTAAGTATAATCAGATGACTAACAACTCAGTATTTGTTATCAGTTTACATATTTTATAATACATCACAACTCAACTTCTGATTCTGGCATAACAGGGGCTCTATTACAATTTATTTAATTAAATTAACTTTTTTATTCAAGGCTTTCACGAGTTTTTTTTTTATTGAAATGAAACTAATAATTTTTGGATTATACAAACTGCGCGACTTTATTTTCGTAAAAAAACTACATACTCCTGACGTTGCGGCTAGTTTTCAGCTACCGTGATCTCGTTTGCCCGTGATCACGGTTGTTAAAATATTAGTTTCATTTAAATAACTTTTCTATCATCAAAATTTAAGATAGAAACATGTACAAGGATGTAATAAAATTTCTATTGATGGTATTAATGTTATCATTAATTTACATATTAAAAAATTATACCTATTAAAGAATATAAATAATAAAAAAAAATTAATCCAATTTAAAAAACACACAGGTCCGAATTGATGGTAATAATGTCAAAGATCTTTCGGTGAGGTGGTTGAGATCTCAGATCGGTTTGGTTGGTCAGGAGCCGGTCCTCTTTAACACGACAGTCAGAGAGAACATCAGGTATGGCCGAGAAGACGCTACTGATGAAGAAATAGAAAAAGTCGCCAAGCAAGCTAACGCTCATGAGTTTATCATGAAACTTCCGTTAGTGAGTATACTGATTTCAAATGTCTATTAAGCTAACATATTTTCCAAGATAATAGAGAGAAAAAGGTATAAAATAAATGTAAGGATTATTGCTATGGTTTCTGCAACATCATTATAATAGAATACGAGATACTTTAAATTAGGTGGCTAAACTTTAATTTGAAGATAAATCAGACGTTATTTTAAAAATACACGAAATATGATAAACTTTACTGTCTATACGTTTATTTTATTATTAACTAGAAGACCTGGCGAACTTCGTATCGCCCTATAATCAAGAAATATCTATTACGTTTTTTTATTTATATTTTTGGAGTTTACCTGTAAGCCATAAATCTCCGTGTTTTTAAGTGCAACAGAATGATTTACATATTAGTTAGTTGTCAAATCTAATGTCAAAAAAACATTTGTATGGGAAATAGAAAAGGGCTGTTTTTATGGTTATCCCTGTAATGAATCAATTTTTTTTCAGCTTTTATACCTTCCCTGAACCTCCACAAACATTTCAAGATTAAAATAAGATAAATCCGTTCAGCTGTTCTCAAGTTTTAGCGAGACTAAGGAACAGCAATCCATTTTTATATATATAGAAGATACAGTTACGCATTTTATGTGTCACTTTTTTTATGCTTTCGATCAAAGATGTCGTTTTCTTAATTGAAAAAAGTTATATAAACAATAAAATAATATTATAAGTTAATATTCTAATTACTAGTTAAAATACTAGTAATATAATTTATGTATTGTGACTTTTGGTCGTAATGATCATGCTGGTACCGGACATCGCTACTAAAAGATATGATAACGTTTTTGCAGCGATACTAAATTGTAAATATATTAAGAACAAAAATTTCACTTAGCCTAAGTAATTTTTTGACATCGGAAATAAAACAAGCAAATTAATATATATTTTAAGTTAATATTTTTTTGGATTATTTCAGGGATATGATACATTAGTTGGAGAGCGTGGTACATCAATATCGGGAGGTCAAAAACAAAGAATTGCGATAGCTCGAGCACTTGTACGAAATCCGCGGATATTATTGCTAGATGAAGCAACTAGTGCACTAGATACTGCTTCAGAAGCTAAAGTGCAGAAGGCTTTAGATAGAGTAATATACATATATTTCCTTGATAGTTGATACCAATAAATAATTAGTCCTTTAAAGCCTTATTCATTATTTATTTAACATTTTTACAGGCCCAAGAAGGTCGTACGACTATTGTTGTTGCTCATAGACTCTCAACCATAAGAAATGTCGACAAAATTTATGTTTTCAAAAGTGGAGATGTGATAGAAAGCGGAACTCATGACGAACTTATTGCCAGGAAAGGTCACTATTACGACATGGTAAAACTACAGACATCAAACATAAACGAAAAAGGTAATATAAACATTTCTTTTCATGGTTAATTATAAATATATGTGTCCGAATAATTTCAACTTTTATTTTAAAGGTCCATCAAATAAAATCGATAGAAGTGAATCAATGTCGAGTGAAAAAGAAGAAAATGAGCAAATTGAAACTAGAGTTCAAGTAAGATGATTATAATAACGTTTTGATATAAAAAAATACAAATATTTTAAAAAAGTTGCTACATAAATAATAAAACATTGATTTTAGAATAGCGAAGAATCAACTGACGATACAGAAGTATCGTACTCACAAATCTTAAAACTGAACGCACCAGAATGGAAATCCATCACAGTCGGAAGCGTATGTTCATTTCTGAGCGGTTTCGCGATGCCTCTATTAGCAATCGTGATGGGAGATTTAATGGGGGTAAGATGCAAAATATATTCCAGACATTTTTACTTTGAATTCATTTATTATATTTTTACCTTTACTGTTTTATTTTCTACAGGTTCTATCTGGTGATGATCCAGAATGGGTCAGGAGTGAGGTCGTAAAGAGTGTGTTATTTTTTATGGGAGTTGGAATATTCGCAGGACTTACGAACCTTATTATGGTAAAAAAATATACAATTATTATATAATTGTGATTTAACTAACGCCTTGAATAACACTTTAAATTATTTTAAGGTATTTATGTACGGTGTAGCTGGAGGACATTTGACATGTAGGTTACGAAAATTATTATTTGAACATATGCTTCAACAAGAAATCGGATTTTTTGATGATAAAAATAATTCGACGGGAGCTCTTTGTGCTCGACTATCAGGAGATGCTGCAGCAGTCCAAGGGGTAAGAACAAATAAATATATCATAAATTTCCCATGATTTTATGAAATAATAATTGTTATATTCTAAATAGGCTACAGGTCACAGAATAGGAACAATTTTACAAGCTTTCGGAACGCTTTCTTTCGCACTGGTAGTCTCACTATACTATGAATGGCGCCTAGGTTTGGTCGCTCTAGCTTTCGTTCCCATTATGGGAATCATAGTTTATAAACAAGGTAAAATGACAACTAGGCATTCTTATGGAACAGCCAAAACAATGGAAAAGAGTTCTAAGGTTAGTAAATTTTAATTATGAATAAGAAAAATATTAGAAGAAAAACAAACACACCTAATCGTTTAAATAAAATAAAGATTTTCGGATATCTACGGATTTTTTTATTATTTTAAAACTATATTCTCGTCAACATCAATTTATAATCATTTTCGTCTGTGCGCAATCACATTCGTGCGAAGGATTGAAAGGGCGAGAGTATGTAATTTTAAAATAATAAAAAATGCTTAGTATATCCGAAAATCTTAGCTTTATTTATATGAATACTTGCAAGACTCGTAGATATTATCACACCTTATATCTTTTTGAAATACGTTTGCTTCTTGTCTTATTTTACTTGAATGACTTTTTTTAGATTGCAGTAGAGGCGGTAGCTAATGTCCGCACAGTGGCATCACTAGGTCGTGAACAAATTATCCTCCAAGAATACACAAACCAACTTCTTCCCGTACTACAAATTGCTAAAAAAACATCACATTTTCAAGGAATCGTCTTTGGACTATCTAGAGGACTCTTCAATCTGGTATATTCAATAACCATGTTTTATGGAGGCCATCTTATAGTGTACAATGGAATCAGATATGAAATTATTCTCAAGTTAGTGGAAATAATTAAATTATATATACATTTAATGTAATTACAGTTAATATATTGTATCTCTTCATATTCAGATCAGCACAAACTTTATTAATGGGTTCTTCATCAGCTGCCCAAGCGTTTGCATTTGCTCCTAACTTCCAGAGTGGGATTAAAGCTGCAGGAAGAATCATAGTCACATTGGCGAGACAAACAAAAATATCGGACCCCGTTAAACCTGCAGTAGAAAATTTTGTACGTGAATCAGATATAAGACAAATTAACATTAAAAAAAAATGTTATTTTTTTAAATAATACATTTTTTCCATTCAGAAAGGAACTGGCGAGGCGAGCGTAACGAATGTGACATTTACTTATCCGACGAGACCGCTAATACAAGTATTGAAGAATTGTAACTTAGAAATTGAGAATGGAAAAACAGTAGCTCTAGTCGGTGGGAGTGGATGTGGCAAGAGTACTATCATACAGTTACTAGAGAGATATTACGATCCCGACGAAGGCGTTGTGGTAAGAAAACTAAAATAAACTAACTAATGTTTCTTCTAAAACACTAAAAAAATGTAAGTACGATATTCATTTCATTTCGGAGGATAAATAATAATTAATTGATTTTTAGACTCAAAATGGGACCCCCTTGCCAAATCTTCGTTTGGCCGATGTAAGGCAGTCCATCGGCTTTGTGCAACAGGAACCTATATTATTTGACCGGACTATAAAAGAAAACATTGCTTATGGTGATAATACTCGAACACCCAGTATGGATGAAATTATCGAAGCAGCTAAACAAGCTAATATTCACAATTTCGTCGTGTCATTGCCAGAGGTAAATACACTCTTTCCAATGTCCTACTTTATAATCATATACAGGAATTTATTTTACAACAGGGTGACAAGATCCTAGAGATCTTGCCACTATGTCCTAACAATCATCAAAAACTATTTCCACCCACGAAGCGTTGAAAACTATGACCATTTTATTTTTAAAGTAATATTTATTTTCTTATTTCAGGGTTATGAGACTAACATCGGTTCAAAAGGCACCCAGCTTTCTGGAGGACAAAAACAAAGGGTTGCTATAGCAAGAGCTTTAATAAGACGACCAAAGATGTTACTGCTGGATGAAGCAACTAGTGCTTTGGACACCGAAAGTGAAAAGGTATAACAACAATGCATTCTAACAAAATCCGTACCCCAAATTGTTTTTCTTGTTACTGGAGCCTTTTACAATACAATATCAGGTTATGTTTTAATATTTTATTCATAAATATGTTCCTTGCAGGTGGTTCAGGAAGCCTTGGAAGCAGCTAAAGCAGGTCGTACGTGTGTCATGATCGCTCACCGACTGAGTACAGTTCGTGACGCTGACGTTATATGTGTACTCAATAATGGAAGTGTGGCTGAACGAGGAACACACGCAGAGCTACTAGAACTCAAAGGACTTTATTATAATCTGTTTAAACGAGGATACTCGTGAAATGTGCTTATATATTTTCCGCATTCTTTATTTATTAAATATATTGTAGATGTATAAAATTTGACGAAAACAAAATCATGTTCAATTTTAGGAATTTAATAGTTTTTAACGACTTTATCTTTTATAAGATAAGAAATAGGATATATTATGTTGTGATAATTCATAATTCATATGTAAGTGTTATAGAACCTAGCAATTAATAAAAATAAATATACATATGAACATTTGACTCGTTTTACAAAACTGAATAAATGTATTGAACAACCGATAATTTTCATATCATTTTTAACATAATACATTTTCAAAAGAATATGATCTTCCCAAAAAAAAAAGAACAAAACCTGATTAAGCAAACATGTGACATAAAAAAAATGTAAAACTCAATATATTTTTTATGAAATGATCACAAATACAAAAAGGAATAATTAAATTAATTTTAAACCATTTTAACTCGTCTCATACAACGAGGAATGTCAGTTTGTAGTTAATGAATAATTAAAACGATAGCACTGATCATCTGACAACGGTATTTAAACCCATAACTTACGAACAAGATAATAACAGAAAGCTTGTTGTTGTCTGATATTTCATTTATAACTAGCTGTTTCCGCGACTTTGTCCGCAGAGGAGTTACATTATAATTTCATAATAAAAAAATAGCCTGAGTTACTCTTTATTCTATCGGCTATGTACCTAAAAAGCCCTGTCAAACTTGGTACAGCCGTTTTAGGGATTTTTTGGAACAAACACTTAAATAAAATCAAATGATTTTTTTTTACATGTACCAGGATAGCATATCGTAAATAGCTTTTTATAAACATTAGATATAGATGCTCTGGTTGTATTAAATCTATTTAAATGATCCATAAATTCTTCATCATCATTTTTTACCAACGCCATGAGAATAATTATAGCATGTATCAATTTTATATCAAAACATCTTACACGAAAAAGCAATTATTGTATATTATACTATTGTTTTTTATAGTAATAGGAAAACCAAAAGATAATATAGCAAACAAAAAAATCTAATATTAAAATTACGATCTCATCAAATATCAACCTAATATTATGTCATAGTAATGATATAAAAATAAAGGCTAACATTTCGTAAAAAATTTAAGTGAGGTAGATTAATAAAACAGTGCTCCTTAATGAATGTCAATTGATGTGAGTGTCTATGTAGCATTCATTTATTAACAGTGTTTAACGTCTTACAGTTGAAGATTTGGTTCCGTGAAAACATATCAAAATATAAGTATAAGTAAGTAGAATTTATTAGAAAATTATATAAATATATGTATTATAGTGGCTGAAATACTAATTAAATATAAAATATACGATTTCAGTGTAGATTATTTCAAAACTATATGAATTAAATGAAACTTTATCGTAAAGAATTTATGAGTTACATTTATTCTAGGATACATTAAAATATGTTACCATTGACATTCAATATTGGCGTACAGTATATGAAGTGGCAGAGTAAGTTACACAATATACAAACGATAGAGGAATCTAAAGAAAATGTCGAAGATGTTTCAACTAACGGTCAACTCGCCACGGACGAATGCAGGTCAGTACTATATTTAATATTACATATATACATATAGTAGAATTAAATTCTTTACAAAAATATTCCATCTATTTTCATCCAAGTCATTAGGAATGAAAGAAAATAGATTATTTATTATTATCTTATGATTTTTTCGTACAAAGTTATATTATTATTTCCACCTTATGATATTAAAGATAGTTATAGTAAGAGAATTAAAATTTGTAATCAATAAACTCTTTGACGTGTAATGTTTCTGTTGCATAGTCTAAGGCTGAAATTGTAAACATTTATGGCGTCACTGACCAAATATTTTATTGTATCAAAGGTCAAGTAAAGAAAAAGTTTTTTATTTGAAGTACGTATTACACTGAAATCAAATATTGATGATAAATAATGCTATCTACAATTTCAGTTATTGCACAAATAAATAAAAATTTACAACATAACAAAAAATAGTCGAAACAATACAAAAATTTTATTTTTGAAAAATAAACCTTTTTTATTTTAAAAATATTAAATAATTACTAACCTAGTGTGAAAATTATCGATAATAAAGTCGTTAATTCTGATATCATAATCGAAAGCAAAAATATTATACAAATAACCAAAATATATTGTCTATTGTCTAGTAAAGAGATTCTATTGACTTGTTATGATAGACTGAGCTTCTGTCTGGTTTGGTTCTAACCTACGTCTACATGAATAATATCCTTTAGGCAGACCCTGGCTAAAACTGGGAAATTGCCAGGAAGAAGAAGAATATCCTTTACAAAAGTATTCACATCGTTAATACAAGTTGATTATATTTCATCATGAAACTTGTATGTGAGAAGATTAAATCATCAAAATTGATTAGCAACCTTGGAAGGAATAGTCAACAGATGAATTTATCATTGAATTAAAATACTACAACTAACATATACTGTTATATATGTATATTAAGTATTAATTGACAATAGCTGGTTGTTGCGATCTCTGAATGTACTCGTAGGTCGATGTAGATATAGGTCAAATAATAAATATTTAAAATATGTAGTAAAGGAAAAATATATATTTTATTATTCCGATAAAACTTTTTATCACTCATAAAATATACCTAACTTTCTTAGTAACAAGTAAAACAAAAAGAAAAATCAATTTCAGTACATAATATGCTTGAACTAAAATATTTAAGGTTCAAATTTTAACTGATAATATTTAACATTTATAAGGGGAAAAAATCTCTTTTTGAATGGATCAAAATCGGAGGTTTCTTAACAGAACAATCTATTATAAGAGCCCATCCTCTATATTGTTGAATGATGTTAGAAAAATCTAAACATACGTACATATATATACGTTTTTTTTTCACCCCAGAACTTCCAGTAATAATGTTCTTTAAACTTAATTTTAGCAATTCTGACACAATCAGTACAAAAACAAGCAAAGAGGAAAAAACGCAAACAACTCCTAACGTTTCTTTTGCGACCCTAGTGAGTATTGTCACAAAAAAATATTATATACATCTTGAATACTGAAATATATTGTGTTTTATTAACTTTAATTTAATTCTCATTTTAGTTCCGCTTCGCTACCATAAAAGACAAAATATTCATATGTATAGCAATCTTATCCTCAATAGTATGCGGATGTATGACACCAATAAATACTCTTCTATTTTCTTCGTTACTTCAAAGTATGGTTAACTACGGAATATCATTGGTTTTAAATGACCCTCAACCAGATATTTTGCTAAATGACGTACGAGACTTTGCCATATATAATAGCATTGTGGGAGCAATTATAGTTGTGGGTTCATATATAGCTACAGTGCTTATGAATATATCTGCTTATAACCAGGTAAATACGTTTTTCAAGTCTATAAATGAAGTATAATTTCTCATATGAACATATATAAACTACTAAGAACTTCTACAACATAATAACGGTACTCAATAGAGTATTCATGGTTTAGGGACCTTAAGCATTTTTTTCTCAAAGTTGACATAATATTTTTCAGGTATACAAGATTCGTCAGGAGTATTTAAAAGCTGCTTTAAATCAAGACTTCGAGTACTTCGATACACATCAAACTGGAGATTTTGCTAGCAAAGTGACGAGGTAATATATAAAAAGAATTTGCCAATGTTCAACTATCAATACTACTATTTAAATCCTAATCACAATAATATTTTGAAACATGTAAATTCAGAAAAGCCTTGAACATTTGAAAATGTACTTTCAAATGTTTTCCTTGATATTTCATAATATTCTCTAAAAATTTTAGAAAAAAAAATTCAGTTCACGGTCAATTAAATCTAAGTAATATCTAAGTTTACGTTTAAAATTTTTAATGGTTTGTTTTGTTTTCATTTCAGCGATGTCATAAAACTAGAAGACGGTATAGGAGAAAAGCTGGCTACCTTCGTATATTATCAAGTGACATTTTTAAGTTCTGTTATAATGGCTCTTGTGAAAGGCTGGAAACTTTGTCTTCTATGTTTAATTTCGTTTCCTATTACCTTAGTTTTAATAGGAATTGCGGGCTTTGTAAGTTTTTTTGATAATTTAGAAATATTAAAAAGAATTTCATGTCTTCATAATTACTTATTTTACATAAATATTATAGATGGCATCAAGATTATCTTACAAAGAAGCCGTTGCTTCTGCAAAAGCTGGATCTGTCGCTGAGGAAGTATTATCATCGATAAGAACAGTATTTGCTTTCAGTGGACAAAAGAAGGAAATTGATAGATATGAAAAACACCTGATTGAAGCTAGGGGTATCAATATTAAAAAAGGTATTTTAGAAAATTATAGTATTATTTTACATATGTAGATGGTTTACACATGTAGATATTTTGTTTTTTTTCTGAAAATTTATGCTATGAAATACAAAGATCGGATTTCGCCAACTACCGATCAATTAGCATTGAACGAAAATCTTAAAATATGTTTATGGAATGCCAGCGATTATAAGACTTACATTTCACTACTTGACCCCTGTACAGTACCTCTGTACTTCTGTTACGTCCCAAGTTCTAGTGAATATGTTGAGATTTATTGTGATTTGAAGAATTGAACGAAGTGATAAGATTATTTTCCAATAAGTGTCATCTTGAGATTTTCTCTTTAGTCCTTAAGGCATTGAACTCTTAAGGCATAACAATAGACAACACTAAAGGGACAATTTGATATATTTCAGGTATTTTTAACGGAATTATAATGGGCTTCATTTATTTCTGCTTATTCGGTGCTTACTCTCTCTGCTATTGGTTTGGATATAAACTAATAGTTGATGAACCAGAAACATACAACGTGGACACAATGATGGCTGTAAGTCAAAAACATTTAAAACACATTTATAATCAAATTTATATATGTCCAACAATAGCTTATGAAATATAAATAATCAATAATAATTCTATATATCATTTACTTGTCTCGTGCAGGTATTATTTGGTGTTTTGATGGGATCAACTAATTTCGGCATATCTTCTACTCTCATGGACGCTTTTGGAGTGGCACGCGGAGCGGGAGCACAGATCTTTAACTTAATTGACAACGTTCCAAAAATTAATCCATTACTCAATCGTGGAATCACTCCCAAAAGTATAGACGGAGATATTGAATTACAAAACGTATTCTTTCATTATCCTTCAAGACCAGATGTGCCAGTAAGTTACAATATAATGAGATCTTAGACTTTCGCTAGTATTCGTTTAAATGAAACTAATATTTTTGGATTAATATGCGTTCTTTTATTATTTTGAAAATTATTTAGTGTAGACTCACTTGACGTTTCGGTTCCTTTGCAGTAACTGTGATCACGGGCAGAAAAATGAGAAATTTCTCATCTCGTCTGCCCACGTTGTAATTTGAAAGTATTAGTTTCATTTAAGTTACAATATAGTTACCTAATATATATTACTTTACACAATCGTTCTGGTTATATTAATCTGGTAATATAACTGTGGTTTGATTGTAGTTCAAAAGTTCAAATTTAATAATAATTTTATAGATATTAAAAGGTATTAATCTCAGTGTCAAAAAAGGCCAATCAGTGGCGTTAGTTGGACATTCAGGCAGTGGCAAGTCCACTATTATCCAGCTGATATCAAGAAATTACGATGTAATAGATGGCAATGTAAGTATATACAGGTAAAGAAACTTAGAAGGATTTAGGATTTTGATTTCAAATAAATAACTACGTAAAACTAACATTCCTGACTGACCGAGGGGTGTAGAACTTATGTATATAATTACAGAATTTCATTCCAAATCTTCGATAGTTTTCTGTCTTGCTAATTAATTTTAATTTTTAGATTGACAATACATAATTCTGGTGAATTATTTAAATTTATGTTAAATTAGTATGATTTCTTTGAATACTCCTCACAAATAAATGTAATTATAAAAAAATAAAATATGTTCTTATATAAATGCAAAATAACTGCTCTTGGTGAATCGTAAAAATATTAATATTTTTAAACATTATTATAAACTTAAAATACATATCCGAAAGCTGGGTAACATATTTCTTAACAGGTACTAGTCGATGGGACGGACGTCAAAAAATTATCTGTTAGGTGGCTGAGAGCTCAAATTGGCTTAGTTGGTCAGGAGCCAATACTTTTTGATACAACAGTTCGTGAAAACATAAGATACGGCCGTGAAGACGCTTCAGACCTGGATATTGAAGAAGCTGCAAGAGCAGCTAATGCACACGGATTTATTATGAAGCTTCCGTTAGTTAGTATATTACTAAAAATATTACTATTTGTGAGGACTTAAAAAATATCTATTTTATTTTAATTACAAAAATATGTTTTCTGTTGTATATTTTCATAAAACAACTCTATTTATATTTTTTAGGGATATGATACATTAGTTGGAGAGCGTGGAGCGTCGTTGTCAGGAGGACAAAAACAGAGGGTTGCTATAGCTCGAGCACTTGTACGAAACCCAAAAATATTATTGCTAGATGAAGCTACCAGCGCATTAGATACATACTCGGAGGCAAAAGTGCAGAAGGCCCTGGACAAAGTAATAACATCTCAATATTATGGAAAAATATGTACATAATTGTTTTCTACTTAAATGTATTAAATTATAGGCCCAAGAAGGTCGTACAACTATTGTGGTAGCGCATAGACTATCAACCATAAGAAATGTCGACAAAATATATGTTTTTAAAGAGGGGAATGTGATAGAAAGTGGAAGTCATGACGAACTTCTTGCTAAAAAAGGTCACTTTTACGATATGCTCATGCTTCAAGCAGCTCCACATTTAAACGAGACTGGTAATGATAATTTAATATATACCCATGCATATGCTCGTATTTTTAATGGACTTCTTTAATGTATTTAATTTTATAGATCAAGGCACACAATTGGAACTTTCTGAATCCCTTTCGAATGAGAAAGAAGAAGAGCTTTTCGAAATGAGAGACGAAGTAAGTTTTTGTCTGAAAAAATAACTTTTTTCAATTTTTTCTCTTTAATTTTTGGATCACTAATATATCAGGATTGCGAAGAAAGTCAAGAAGAACCTGAGATTTCATTCTTCAAAGTACTTAAACTGAACTCACCGGAATGGAAGTCCATTACTGCGGCCAGCATATGTGCAATCCTAAACGGTTTTGCGATGCCACTGCTAGCAATTGTAATGGGAGACTTTATGGGTGTAAGCTACTAATAATTTCATACAATACTATTTTAACTATTTAAAAACATAATTAAGTGTAATAACTATGTCATTCACAGGTGCTGTCTAATAATGATCCGGATTGGGTTAGAGCAGTAGTTATTAAATATGTATTAATTTTTTTGGCAATTGGTATTTTCTCTGGACTCACAAACTTCATTACGGTAGAATTATTCTATACACAGATAGTTATTATGTTATTTTATTATGTTATTTATTTAATATATTGATTGCAGGTGTTTATGTATGGTATAGCAGGAGAACATCTTACCGCCAGGTTGCGTAAACTATTATTCGTACACATGCTCCAACAGGAGGTTGCTTTTTTTGATGATAAAAACAACTCAACTGGAGCTCTTTGCGCTCGGTTATCAGGAGATGCTGCGTCCGTTCAAGGGGTAAGAACAAACAGAACAGAGAAATAATTACTATTCTATATATTCTTAACACTGCAATACTTTTTTAATCACAAACATTATGCCAAAACAGATAGAACATGCTCTGGGTGAATTCTTATAAAATTTGGAATTTTATTTAAAAAAAACGATTTCGTTTTTTTTTGCAGACAATGTCTCAAATGAAATATCAATCAGAAACAAAATATAAAATATTTTGATTCTAATTTCGAAACAATGTACATATAATATTAATAACTGACAAATAATACTTATTATTAAAAATTCCTTTTTCCTAGGCAACAGGTCAAAGAATCGGAACAGTCTTACAGGCCATTAGTACATTTAGCGTCTCATTAGGAATATCATTATATTATGAATGGCGTTTAGGATTAGTCGCTTTATCATTGGCACCTATCATGGCAGCTGTGATGTTCAAACAAGGGAGAATGATAACAGCTCAAACTTTTGGGACAGCTAAAACAATGGAAGATAGTTCCAAGGTATGGGAAAATAATAGAATAAAAACTACTCATTATTAACATTTATTATTAGGAGGTTTTTGTATTAAAAAATCCCTGATACCCACAATATAGATTAATTTATAATTTCATTTAAACAGATAGCCGTAGAAGCGGTGGCTAATGTTCGAACAGTGGCATCACTTGGTCGTGAGCAAATAATTCTCAATAACTACGCAACTCGGCTTTTGCCAGCACTAGTGGAGGCGAAACGAACCGCACATTGGAGAGGTATAGTCTTTGGGCTCTCTAGAGGACTTTTTAACTTCGTGTACTCCATTGCCATGTTTTATGGAGGCAATCTAATGGTGTATCAGGGAGTGTCATATGAAATAATACTCAAGTAAGGAGCAAAAATTTTGAATACAATTAATTATTTCAATTACTTCTTTACAACTAGAAGTCATGTCATGTCATTGCTGTTTTAGGTCAGCTCAAACATTATTAATGGGCTCCAGTTCCGCAGCTCAAGCATTTGCTTTTGCTCCAAATTTCCAAAATGGTTTAAAAGCTGCTGCTCGAATTATTATTACATTAAGAAGGCAGTCAAAAATCGTCGATCCCGCTAAACCTGCTGTCAAAAACTTTGTAAGTTTGCCACCCAAGATGAATATATATTTATAATATACTAGTTTTTGCCCGCGACTTCGTCCGCATTAATTTCATGATTAGTAATATATGTATAGCTGACCGGGCGAACTCTATTCCGTCCTAGAGGCCATAAATATTCAGGTTTTTCCTGTTTCAATCGAACAGAATGATTGACATATTAGTTAGTTGTCAAATCTAATGTCAAAAAAACATTTGTATGGGAAATAGAAAAGGGCTGTTTTTAGGGTTTTCCCGGAAATGAATCAATTTTTCTCACCTTTTAAACCTTCCCTGAACCTCCACGAACATTTCAAGACTAAGATAAGATAAATCCGTTCAGCTGTTATCGAGTTTTAGCGAGACTAAGGAACAGCAATCCATTTTTATATATATAGAAGATATAAGTCCATATTTGCTATCATTTTAATCGTAGAACGACTCACGTCTCTCTAGTAAATGTGATGATGGCATTAAAACATGAAAACCCGTAGAATGTATGTTCCAAAAAATAAATTTCAATAATATTTATTTTTCTAGAAAGGGGCAGGCGAAGCAAATATAAGAAATGTACAATTCACATATCCAACAAGACCTCTAATACAAGTACTAAAAAATTGTAGCCTACAAATCGAAAAAGGACAAACTATAGCTCTAGTCGGTTCAAGTGGATGCGGCAAGAGTACCATCATACAACTGTTAGAAAGATATTACGATCCCGACGTCGGCACAGTGGTAAAAATATGAAATAATTATTACAATTACAACTCAATATTGTAGTACACTAATAAATTTAAAAGGTTACGTATCATCCAACATAAAATTTATATTTTAGGATCAAAGAGGTATTCCAATACGAAAACTCAAATTAGCAGATGTGAGACAGTCGATAGGCTTCGTACAACAAGAACCTATTCTGTTTGATCGTACCATAGAAGAAAATATAGCCTACGGTGACAATTCACGGCAACCTAGTATGGATGAAATAATTGAAGCAGCTAAACAAGCTAATATTCACAAATTCATTGTATCTTTACCAATGGTAAATAAAATTTCTTGAATTCATTACTTTTTGACCATACGTAAATATAAAGATCTCTGGTCTTTATTTCAGGGTTATGAGACCAATATCGGTTCAAAGGGCACCCAGCTTTCTGGAGGACAAAAACAAAGGGTTGCCATAGCAAGAGCTTTAATAAGACGACCAAAGATGTTACTGCTGGATGAAGCTACTAGTGCTTTGGACACAGAAAGTGAAAAGGTACAAAAACAATACATTCTAACCAAATCCATGTACCACCTATTATTTTTCTTATTACTAAAGCCTTTTACAATACAACAGGTTAGGTTTTAATCTTTTATTAATAAATATGTTCCTTGCAGGTGGTTCAAGAGGCCCTGGAAGCAGCTAAAGCGGGTCGTACGTGTGTTATGATCGCTCACCGACTGAGTACAGTTCGTGACGCTGACGTTATATGTGTACTCAATAATGGAAGTGTCGCAGAACGAGGAACACACGCAGAGCTACTAGAACTCAAAGGACTTTATTATAATCTATATACGAAAGGAAGTGCATGATTATAATCGCCATCTGTAGCACCTATTTCACACCTCTTATTAGAAGTTAGACAAATAAGTGTGTTGAGTTTAGACTTGTTATATTTGCAGCTATTTTATTTTTTCTAGAATAATTACTAAAAATAATTCGTTCTTATTGTAATAAATTAATTCTAGTAAGGAAAAACTGACAAATTTTGTCAAGTAGACAAACAATATAATTTCCTGTGCTATAGTAGATTTTAACACTACTTTTAAGTTACTTCTTTTGTTTAAGTTACTAACTTTGAATCACCAAGTTTTAGAGCACTATCAAAAAACAAGAATAAAGAAATGAGACTTAAACCATTTTCAAAATAAAATAGCATTGATCTTTAAAGCAAACTTACTGGAAAATTTTTGACTTTTGCCAAATTACATTGTAGGATTCAGTAGTGACGTTTAATATTTCATAGAGACTATTTATTACAAGTATGTTACCAGTAACAAAAATGTTTCTTGACCAATTTTTAATAACTTCTTAATTTCAGGCAATACGATATACGATAATTGACTATTGTCATTTAAGTACACCTTCGTACAATACTTAATGTATATCTAGAAAACAGGATCTAGACTTATTGTTTATTATTATTTTTATATGTTATTGTTTAGTTATTTTTTATTTTATCTAGTTTTTTTTTTCATAGAGATTATAATTTATTTCATAAGTATTGAGTCTAATTATTATTATCTAATGAATCTACCTCCACGATATTGTTACATCAAGTAACACATGCTATTTGTGAAATATTTTTTCAATCTGGTTTTTGGTGTATATTAATTGTGTAAAATGACACAATTTTTATATAGTATACAATTCAATAAGTGAGTCAATTTGTATTTCTCTCATAAATCAATCATAAAAAAACGATATTTTGTGTTTTAATATTTCTTTTTTGTCTAATAAAAATGTATTCTTCTTTTTTTGTTCTTGTATTCTCTAATATAAACCCATTTTATACAAAATGTTAGTGTTTTTCCCCAGGAAATGAGATATACGTTTTAGGTTGCAGCTTGTCTGTTTACAAATACGAATATTCTTTTATTGATAAAAATTTCACAATTGCTTTACACACTAATTACGCTACTACTAGAGTTAAAGCGTGCTCATACAAATTTAAAAGCAAGGTCATATACAAACGTATTTACAGACGCAAACTAAAGTTAAATAAGGATTTTTTTTTATAAAATTATTAATATTTTAGACATATATCCTTTATATCCTTGTAAATTGTTTATATTTAGAGTAACTACGTTTTATTTTATACTTTATGGGATTATAACAGGAAAAATTTAAAAGCTTTGGTATTTTCAGCTCACGTTTTACTGGGAAGTGATGAAATATTTATAAATAGCTATTCGATGCCAGAACTATGGCTTTTTGAACGCCAGTTTTCATATTAGTACTGCATGTAACGATTGTATTAAGTGTTATTCATATGTAAATTAAAATATAATGTTAACGGTGCATAAGCATTTTGCGTGAAAATTTTAGTGTTATTTTAAATATCTCTGTAATTCAGGATTAAAAGTGAGTTGTTATGGATTTGTGAACAAATAAGTGTCAGACATTTTAATTAAGTATATTCCGAAAAAGACAAATGCGTTGGCAAAGCTGGACTATAAATTATACAAGATATATTTTATAACATTTTTTATAATTATGCAACTATAAGAAATGTTCAGAAAACCTTTATTTTCACATTAAATTTCACACGCTAGTTTAATTACTTTATTGTAACTCATTTAGTGATTATAAATACAAATAGTTGTAGGTAGAATTATATATGAATTGTAACACAAACAACTTACGAGGTGGGACAAGGGGTGAAGAGAGGGACTTCACCCCTTGATAAGCCATAATGAAACTAGAAGTGCTGTAGTTGGTCAGAATACGGTGGTGTTTTTCTAATCATATAAGTCTGAGTAACCCTGCTATCGATTATCCACGTAAAGTTAAATGTTTCAAGTGGTTTTCTGTAATTCTTGACAAAAGCAGAAAGAGATAGTGTTTCTGGCAAATATTTTTATGATTAATATCGCGTATTACAATATTACTGATTTGAAATATAATATTTAGTGCAAAATGGAATAAAAACTGTGCTACGTTAGTAAGTAAATAAAAACTTCTTATTAGTCACTTATAAAAAAAATAACAGCATATACTAGTTTCTGTAGGCGATGACACTCGTGTTCAGGCATGTTACACCTCGAAACCCTGTATTTACTCGTTTTTATTAAAATATCTTTTAATTATATATTGACTGTTCTTTTTATATGCGTTTGATATTTATTATAATAATGACGATCGATACAAGGACGTGAATGAGTCAAGACTATACTGTATTATTAAAAGGCTCAACTTCCATATGACTCTAGTATTTTAAACTTCTTTATAATTCCATTAATTTCATAATATATTATCGTTTTATGAAATAAGGAAATTTACTTAATTATATCACTGATTATTCTATTCAGTTCGGTACATTTATTTATCTTTATTTATCTGATAATTAAACAACACATACTTTATATGTATTCAAGTAAAAATGATTTGCAAATTTACAATTTCTTTTGATTGAGGTCATTATTTATCATGTATTTTGTACATAGTAGATTGAAGATTATTTTTAATATCTGTTCTTTATATTAAGTATGTGGGCCTTTTAAAACTCTTTGTGGATCTAATATCCCACTGTCCTCTAAAATAATAAAGTAAAAATCGTATATAATTGTTGATATTAGAGTATTATAACAGCTTCTTTGAATGTCACAGTTACTTTGGGAACGTTTAAGTAAAAAATTTATGACATACGCCATAAATCATATCTTTTAATTAAGACCTTATTATGTTTATATATGAATACTATTGTTTAATATCATTTCAAGTATCTTTTCATAGTAATTTTCACCGATACATTCTGTCTGATAGTAAGTACGTCACATTTGTATATCAGTGATAATAATTATCTATCGATTGTGCACTGATAGCATAACTTAACCACAGCTACGGATAGTGTTTACTAGACCTTTTTTGTAAATACGTGTGAATGGTGTTAAATATATACATATGTAATAAGTGTTCATTGTAATTTTTAACATGAAGGCCAACGGGAATAGTTATACGCTGAAGGATTTCTATAAAATGAAAAAGAAGGGATCTGATCATGACAAAAACAGGTGACATTTTTTTATAAAAAACACAAACTGTATGTATATTTTATATATTTTTAATGGTAAGGACAAGTGTTACATAGTGTTCAGAATTTAAACTAGTGAAAACGGGTCAGCTGTAATCATTCTTTTGTTTAAATAATGTATCTGCTTAGAGAACTTAAATTACCAATGAAAAAGAGTTTCTAATTGTCTTTCGACAAAGTAGAATTGAAATAGAAAATACTGTTGCTAATTCGGTTTCTTTTTGATAAATACTGTGTTAATTTTGAGTTACTAATCATGTATTGCAAAGATTTGGGTTTAATTAAATTAGTGACAACATTTTTTAATCTTTAGAGTCGTTCAGAAAAATTATAGAAGTTTGATGACGGGTATGAGGTTCAAAATAAACTTTGGATAATTTGGTAAATTAAGAGATGGGTTTAACAGTACGATGCAGTGGTGCATGTCTTTAGTATATGAAAAAAAAACATTCAAAATATTGTGTATAACAAATAAACAACAACATTATTAAAGAATCATAAATTTTATTGAAGTATTACGCATAAATCATGATTACATTGATTAAATTATTCCATAAAAATAGAAGTTTTGCGTATATGTACAAAAATAATTGATTAAAAACAAAAATTGTTATAGCTAGTACTTTTGCGAGTTTTATTCATTTAAAAGGAAACTAATATTTTTCGGATATGCTATGCGGTTTATTTTTGTGAAAAAAAGGCATCTCGTCTGCCTGTGATCACGGTTGCTGAAAAATAGCCAAAACGTCGGGAGTATGTACTTTATTATTTTCACAAAAATAAACCGCGTAGTATATCCGAAAAATATTAGTTTCATTTAAACAAAAATTGTTTATATAAATCATTGAATCATAATTTTGTTTGTATGATGTTTATTTTACAAAATTTTTAATAAAAAAAGTCAGTCATACACAAATCTTTAACGCTAGTACACAGGCACCGATGAAACTGATCCCATATTATTCAAAATTAGTTTTTTTCTAACCGACTTTTTAATATCATCTTGCTTTATGATCTCCTAATGTTTTTTTTTATTAAAACAGCAGTATGCAGTTTGTTCCTAACGAGTCCTATAATTTGCACTCCGAAGACCTTTCCTATTTCTAGATGAATGGATTTTGAAACCAGTCTATTCCTAAAACATAATTTAATGACCTTATCGGAAATATTTAACGTAAAGAAACAATACCATTATTAAAGCCTACCGTGAAAAAATATCAAAAAACCCAGCACTGTCTTTACTTTCCCTTGACCCAGAAGAACAAATATTAGGTACCTGAGAAAAGAAGCTTACCAGTTTTACTAATAATTAATTATACCTAGTTATTCGTGAGCATCTTCTCGGATAATATGTATATACATAGATGACTGGATACAATAAGATAACTTAATGATGCATCTTTACATTATTTTTTTATTTTCTATAAAAAATTCTTTGTTCAAGTTGAGTGAAGTGACCTCAGCGTTTCGTTAAAATTGAAATTGGTAGTCTGAACAATTTTTTTTTACCCACCCCAAATATGACTAGTTTTAGCATGTGACTCGTTTTCACTAGTACAAGATGTAGCCACCAGATGGCGTAATTTAAACTACGCCTGTTACTAACAGAGATTCTTTTCCAAACCATCACACTGCTTTAATTATGAATATCAATAAAAGACATAGTTTTTATAATTAACTTGGATATATTGTGTTTGTGAAATAGATAATTGCATAAGATCTTAAAATAAAACAGATTTTAAATTTAAATAAGATTTAATGTACCTATGTTAATTTCATTTACCATTAATTGTTTATAATAATAGAGTGTCAATATATATATTGTGTAAATTGTAATATCATCGTGAATTAATAAATCATAGCTAATAGTTTCCATAAATGAACAAATAACACTCGAGATCTAGTGCTCTCCATATACTTGTTATAATATTACTAATAACAATAGTATCGGAAACAAAAGAACAAGAAAAATGTTCTTTTATGTGTAAAATGATACTTTATACTCTGTATTTTTTATATTTTCACACATTGTGATACAAACTCTAGATACAATAAAAATTGTCGCATTTATTTCTGATCTCAATCATCAATATAATTAATTATTAATTTACCGAATAATAGAAAGATCAATTGCATGAAACAAACTATATACAGGGTGACTGGTGAATTACTATCGATATGTGAGGACGTGATATTTGACGATCATATATGACAAAATAAAAATTAACATAACATAAATATTAATAAATTTCTAAGTAAAGTTAACCAAAAGTTATGTAATTAATTACGCATCGTATGAACACCCTACAGATTAGGTATACACGCACACTCACACATACGTGCGCGGCGGCGTGTTGTTGTATCAGCACGCCGCCGCGCGCGTCCACACTTGGAACACTTGGAACGTGTCAACACTTTATTTATTTATACGGAAATTTTGTCAAAAATTAAGTACCTATTTTTTTTACATAATTCGAATGAGAATCATGTACCGAGTATGCTCCTTAAATATTGATAGTAATTCACCAGTCACCCTGTATAGTTATTTTTTAAGATAGTCAATTTCAAAAGTCAATTTCTCTTGAAAAATAATTTCTCAACAGTAAAAACTTTATACTCCCAACAATCTATGTACACGTTCAATTCATATATGTACCTACTCGTAAGTTAAATTAGCCGTAACTTTATTTTAGCAACACCAGTAGCGAGAATGGGAAAGAAGAAATTCCAAGCGTATCTTTCTTCACACTAGTAAGTAATTTAATAATTGCACATCGAGTTACTGAAAATAATCTGGCATTTATATAATATTTTTTTTCAGTACCGTTTCTCCTCTAAAAGAGATAAGTTATACATATTCCTAGCCATCATATCATCAATAGTATGCGGATGTATGACTCCATTAAATACTCTGTTATTTTCTTCTTTACTCCAAAGTATGGTTGACTATGGCGTATCAATAATAATTAATAACCCTCAACCGGACATCTTTCTGAGTGATGTGAGGGACTTCGCGATTAATAATAGCGTTATTGGAGCAATTGTGGTTTTGTTGTCGTATATCGCAACAGTTTTAATGAACATTGCAGCTTATAATCAAGTAAGTTTAAATATAATCCAACTAGTTGAAATATATATGTGACCTGTTATCTCTAACATTATAAATTCTTAAGGTATATCGAGTTCGTCAGGAGTATTTGAAAGCTGCATTAAATCAAGACTTTGAATACTTCGATACACATCAAACTGGTGATTTTGCTAGCAAAATGACTGAGTAAGTAAGGGAATAGAAGTCAGTTAAATGCTTTACAAAAAAGAATTAACTTTAAAATTTATTTCAGCGATGTTGTAAAACTAGAAGATGGTATAGGAGAAAAATTAGCAACTTTTATTTTCTATCAGGCTTCTTTTCTTAGTTCTATTATAATGGCACTGATTAAAGGATGGAAACTCGCACTTTTGTGTTTAATCTCCTTCCCAGTAACTCTGTCACTAGTTGGAATTGCTGCTTTAGTGAGTTTTTAATATCAATATATAATATTAAACAAGCCTACATCAAATAAATAGAATACATTCACATATAACTCACATGCAGAACAACAAACACAAATTTTTGGCAAAAAAAATCTTGTACAAATGTAAAGGTCAAAAGAGGAAGTAAAATTAAAAGTAAACATTATTATTTTCATGTTTTTTTCTCACAGATTTCATCGCGACTATCTAAAAAGGAGGCTGTGGCTTCAGGAAAGGCAGGTTCTATAGCAGAAGAGGTTTTGTCAGCTGTAAGAACAGTGTATGCATTTAGCGGACAAAAGAAAGAAATAGAAAGATATGAAAAGTATCTCAATGAAGCTAAAGGAATTAATATTAAAAAAGGTATTCTTTTTGTTGAAAAAATACTTCTATGACACTTTTAGTCATCAGCACTGTTAATCTTGGAGTTAAGACAACAACAATTTTATTAATATATATTTTTTAGGATTGTTCAACGGGATTGCAATGGGGACATTATTCTTCTGCATCTTCTGTGCTTACGCTTTATCATTCTGGTTTGGATATAGACTTATGGTAGAGGAGCCTGAGACATATGACGTCGATACTATGATGGCCGTAAGTTTGCAGAAATTCTTGGAGATCAGAGCTTAAAAGTTGATATACTTTATTAGTTTCATCAGTGGAATACAAATTTCAAGTTAAATATATGTATGCTCAATAAAAATTACAAATATTGCAGGTACTATTTGGTGTGTTAATGGGTTCAGCCAACTTTGGTATATCGTCCACCCTGATGGATGTATTCGGAGTCGCTCGTGGGGCTGGAGCACAAATATTCCATCTGATCGATAATGTCCCTCTCATAAACCCGCTGCTCAATCGTGGCATTGTACCCAATAATATTGAGGGGAAGATTGAATTGAAAAACGTGGTCTTCCATTATCCTTCTAGACCAGACGTTCCAGTGAGTTAAATATTCATTAACTTTATGAGACATGTCTTGGAAACATTGAAATGACTTTTATAAAGTACAAAGATACAATACCATTGATTATAATCACGTAATTAGTCGCTGCAATTATGATAAAATTAGTATTTATATATAATTTTGCGTAACTGATATTGATTATGAGGTCGATAAATATAATCCATAATCATTTTTACTGATTTTTGTTTTTATTTCAATAAAATATTTGTAGAATAGGTACGATCGGAGTGCAAGAAGCAACAGAAATTGACAATGGCTTAGGTTTAGGACGATAATATGATATGAATATTTTTCATAGGTACTGAAAGGAGTTAACATAAGTGTGCAAAAAGGACAATCAGTTGCCCTCGTCGGCCATTCTGGCTGCGGTAAATCCACTATCATACAACTGTTATCAAGATACTATGACGTTGTAGACGGCAGCGTAAGTAATGACCTACAAAATAAATTTATCATTATTTAATAATTACCCTCGTGCCTGAGAGTACAAAGTAGCATTTTATTCTGCTTATGCAAGTACAAAAAATTGGTGCAAAATTAATCCTATAGCAAGTAGCATTTGATATGGGCCACTCGTCACATTAGGATACGCATATTCTTCTCGTTCATCTTTGTACTAAGAGTAGGTACTACTTGAGAATATTATATTGGATAAGCTTGAAGTGTCATAAACATAACGTCTAATTAAAATTGTATAAATGAATGATAAAGGGCCCTTTGATAGAATTTGCTACTGTACTAAATCCAGAAAATCAAAACTTATGATATGGATTCACCGATCAGAGGCAAAAAATGTGCAACATCGCCAGACAAAACTTCCGCATTCTGATATTATTATAGATTAAAATGAATTGTACTTTTCAAATATCTTCATTTTGCGTGTCAGATAAAACGAAATTCCTATCTAACGATAACGACGTGAAACTAAAATTATCGATAAATATTATTAAATCACTTTGATTTTATATAATAATTTAATAAATTATAAGATAGGAATATATAATATTAAATCATTGCGATGTTTAAATTGATATCAAATATTTTATAAAATTATTGTGATATAGGTACAAATTGATGGAAACGACGTAAGACAGTTGTCTGTAAGATGGTTGAGATCTCAGATCGGTTTAGTTGGTCAGGAGCCGGTCCTCTTTAACACGACAGTCAGAGAGAACATCAGGTATGGCCGGGAAGACGCTACTGATGAAGAAATAGAAAAAGTTGCGAAACAAGCTAACGCTCATGAATTTATCATGAAGTTACCATCAGTGAGTATGATTGATGTTATAATATTTTTATAAAATCGAAAACAGCTGGAACGACAGTAGAATTGATAGATTTACTTGTATCGCCGTCATCAGCCTATGAGAGCTCACTGTTAAGTACATATGACTCGGAAAAATCACATTGGTACTTGCCAGGATCGAACCCGCGCCCTCGATGCACGAGAGGCGGGGCGTTAACCACGAGGCCACAATTGACTGATTACTGATTTACTTGTATCAAAGGTACCAATGTTATTTAAATTTAATATCATTTATTTATTACAGGGTTATGACACATTAGTCGGAGAACGTGGCGCATCTCTTTCTGGAGGCCAAAAACAAAGAATTGCCATAGCTCGAGCCCTTGTACGGAACCCAAAAATATTATTGTTAGATGAAGCCACCAGTGCGTTAGATACATCCTCAGAGGCCAAAGTGCAAAAGGCCCTAGACAAAGTAATGTGATTAAATATTTTATGACAATTAGTTACATACTTAATTAAGGTACTGTTGATATCACGGCATTCAATTACAGGCCCAAGAAGGTAGGACGACGATTGTTGTCGCTCATAGGCTCACCACAATCAGAAATGTGGACAAAATATATGTGTTTAAAAAAGGCAATGTCGTTGAATGTGGTAACCACAACGAGCTTATGGAGAAAAAGGGCCATTACTACGATATGGTTATGCTACAAGCATCACCAGACATAAATGAGAATGGTTTGTGCTTAAATTTGGTTTTTTTTTCTACACATATTATAATATTCATTTGATTTCTTTAATTATAGAAAATGTACAGAAATTGGACCGTACTACATCTATTGTCAGTGAAAAGGATGAAGATGAGCACTTTGAAACTATAGTGCAGGTATGATTTCTATTATTTTATGATTTAACTCCAGACAAATTTCCCATACTTTTTATCAATAACTGAGAGCTTTGGCTGAAATTGTTGCACCATTATAGCTTTCTTAGTAATATCCACTGGTAAACCTATTGAAATGAAAAAAATATTTGCAGGAAAATAACGAAACAACACAGGAAGAGCTCAATATATCATTTTTACAAGTGATAAAGTTGAACTTGCCAGAATGGAGGTCTATTACAGCAGGTAGCGTTTGTTCGCTTGTTAGCGGTTTCGCGATGCCCCTTCTTGCGCTCATATTAGGAGATTTCATTGGCGTATGACTTTTGTATAATAAATTGTTTATATTGAAATCTTGAGAAAAAATATAACTTTACATCGTTTTGTAATCCTTTGCAGGTCCTTTCTAATCCTGACAAAGACTGGGTTGAAAATGAAATTCGTAAATATTCACTAATTTTTGTGGGAATTGGTGTCTTTTCAGGAATTACGAACTTTATTATGGTAATTTATTTAATGAATTTATATGAGATAAACAAAATACCACGTTTATTTATGTATATGAACAAAAGTTAACTGTACGTTTCTGTGTAAAGGTTTTTATGTACGGTATAGCAGGTGAACATCTCACAGCGAGATTACGAAAATTATTATTTGAGAAAATGCTTCATCAAGAAATTGGATTCTTCGACGATAAAAACAATTCGACGGGAGCTCTTTGTGCACGTCTGTCAGGTGAAGCTGCAGCCGTTCAAGGAGTGAGTACAAAACCAAAGAACAAAAATTAAGAAATCTTGTTAAAATAAAAGTCAATTATAACATAATATTTTTAGGCAACAGGGCAAAGAATTGGAACAGTTTTGCAAGCCATTGGTACATTTAGTTTTGCATTAGGAGTCTCTCTCTTTTATGAATGGCGTTTAGGGCTGGTGGCACTCGCATTTGTACCATTTATGGCAGCTGTTCTTTACAAACAAGGAAGAATGGTCACTGCCGAGTCTTTTGGAACTGCCAAAACAATGGAAAAAAGTTCAAAGGTCAGGAAAAATTTGGAAATATTTCTCTTACATATACCTACATGTGTCATATTTTTGTAATTTTATATGATAAATAAAATAACGTTTGTTACTACGAGCATGTGCCAAATATTGCTTAAAGAAAAGGTTAAAGAACTGTTGAAATTCTCAGATCGCAGTAGAGGCGGTAGCCAATGTTCGTACAGTTGCTTCACTGGGTCGAGAACAAACCTTCCTAAAAGATTACGCCACCCAATTGCTACCGGCTCTAGTAATCGCAAAGCAAACATCACACTGGCGAGGAATTGTTTTTGGGCTCTCTAGAGGTCTTTTCAACTTCATTTATGCTGCTACTTTGTTTTATGGAAGCAATCTTATGGTGTACCAAGGGATTGGGTACGATGTTGTTCTAAAGTAAGTGGAATATAATAAATGGTGAATTTTACTAAGTAATAAGTGTTTTTACTATGATGACAAACATATTTAATATTTCAGGTCAGCACAAACTCTATTGATGGGTTCCTCATCAGCAGCTCAAGCCTTTGCTTTTGCACCTAACTTCCAAAAAGGCATCAAAGCCGCTGGGAGAGTTATCGTTATTTTAGGTAGACAGTCAAAAATTGTTGATCCAATAGAGCCTGCAGTGGAAAACTTTGTAAGTGTATCATCATACGTTATAATTTTTAGTAGCTTCGCATTAAATCTGTTTTTGTCTTTGCAGGAAGGCACTGGTGAAGCAAGCATTCAAAATGTACAATTCAAATATCCAACGAGACCACTTATACCAGTACTGAAGAACTGCAATTTAGAAATTGAGAATGGCAAAACTATAGCTCTAGTCGGTTCAAGTGGTTGCGGCAAGAGTACCATCATACAACTGTTGGAAAGATATTACGATCCTGACGACGGCATTGTGGTAAGAATATTAACAATTTGCGTTGCTAAAAGTAGTGTTATTGCGTTGTTAAAAGTACCGAGGTTGTATAATAAAATTACAATAACTTTTATTAAAAATTAGATTACTTTAATGAACCAATTACTTGTAGGCTCAGAACGGTATTCCTCTGCCTAAACTTCTCCTCTCCGACGTCAGACAGCCAATAGGTTTCGTCCAACAAGAACCAATACTGTTTGATCGCAGCATAGGTGAAAATATTGCATATGGAGATAATTCACGACAACCAAGCATGGATGAAATAGTTGAAGCAGCTAAACAAGCCAACATTCACAATTTTGTCATATCTTTACCGATGGTAACAAAATTCTTCCTTAACTCAAAATTTATATTATGTTGTAGGTAGTTGAAAGGGTAAAAATTATGCGTAATTTCATATTTTCTTTTATTTTAGGGTTACGACACAAATATAGGCTCAAAAGGTACACAATTATCTGGAGGACAAAAACAAAGGGTTGCCATAGCCAGAGCTTTAATAAGACGACCAAAAATGTTGCTACTTGATGAAGCAACTAGCGCGTTAGACACCGAGAGTGAGAAGGTAAAAATACCAAATATTATGATATACTTTTCAAAATAGTAATTATGTAAATTTAAACGAAACTAATATTTTTCGGATTATAATACGCAACCTTATTTTTGAAAAAAACTACATACTCCGGACGTTTCGGTTACTTTTTAGCAACCGTGATCACGGGCAAACGAGAAAATAAAGTAATAATCCGAAATCATTACTTTAATTTAAATAAATAAGACTCGCGAAAATCTTAGAGCTCATTAGTAATTATGTAATTGAATTAAAATAATATTGGAGATATATTTTTAATAAGATTGTATTCAGGTGGTTCAAGAAGCCCTGGACGCAGCTAAAGCAGGTCGTACGTGTGTCATGATCGCTCACCGACTGAGTACAGTTCGTGACGCTGACGTTATATGTGTACTCAATAATGGAAGTGTCGCTGAAAGCGGTACCCACTCCGAGCTAGTACAACTCAAGGGCCTTTATTATAATTTAAATAGAAGAGGCTATGCGTAATATAATATCAATATCATATTTCAATTATTTGTTAACTGGAATAGTTTGGATTGATTTTCAAAGAGCTCTCAATAAATGAAACACTCTAAATAAAATCTAAGTTCTCAGTGAGAATGGCGAGTATTTTTTATTTATGTTAACATTCGATTTTACTGACACCACTTTTCAGTAAGTAGTTTTCAGTAATAAGTTAAATTACCAGAATTATATACTTTACAATATAATAAATACTTCATTAAATAAGCATTATTTTCTATTCTTTGAGTTATTGGCATTTACTTATAGATTTAGCCAATGTCAATGTAATAAAAATAATGTGATAATTTTATTAAGTATAATGAATACTTACTGTTTTCAATAGGGGTAATTGAAAATTAACAGATAATGGATATGTATATGTACAACTCCCAATTTGGACTTTCAATCATTAAAACAAATATCAAAAAAATAAATATTTATTTTATGTAAAAAAATATTAAACATTTATCCATATTACTTATCAATATAAGAAATGTTTTAAAATCATTTATCCTCACACACACTACTGTACTTTATACCTATGTATAACATTGGAATACTATCACAAGACGTATATTTATATTTTTATAAAAAGTAAAAAATATTCTTTGTAATTATAGTTTGTTACAAAATAATTATCAATGTTAACAGCTTCGTAACGTTCTAAGTCATGGATACAGAAATATATAGGTTCATAAGCAATGCATTGTCAGTATTTAGTAAATGCTTTGACGACAACAAGGTTCATATCTCAACAAATTTCTTCTCATGTTCTATCAACCATTCCTTGCGGTTAATGCCACAACTAAATCCTCCTTTAGAAGCAGAAGCGACTAAACGATGGCATGGTATTATTATAAGGTGGGCATTTGCACCACAAGCTGCACCAATAGCTCGAGAATGGCTTGCTGCCCTACCCATGTTCTTGGCGAGTGAACCATAGGTCTCTGTAGAACCATACGGCAGTTCCAGGAGGTGTTTCCAAACTTCCTAAAATACAGTAAATAGATTTAAAATACACTTTTATAATGAGTCAATAAAAAGACAATTCATTTCTTCCTTATACAACCAACCCAATTCTATAAAACAGAATATAGGTACATTACCTTTTGAAAATCAGTTCCAAAAGTTTTTATAGGAACTGTAAACTTTCGTAAATTCCCATCGAAGTAATCTTTGATTTCATCCTCGAACTGCTCTAGAATCTTACTTTTATTTTCTACAAAACTACATGATAAATTATCAGCAATAACGCGTAATTCTTTCTCTAGGTTTTTTGAGTCTTCAAAAACTACAGCATATAGGAAGTCATCATCACCTACTGCAACTATTTTTCCAATAGGGGAATCAAATCTTGATATGCAAATGGATTTCTTAGAATTTTGAGAAAACTTTTTTAACAATTCCGTAAACTCCATTATATGCAATAAATTTTAATAAGCAAACTGTTTATTTGAGATGGTTTATAATATCTATTCATTGATATTCCACATGCCCTTTAAAATTTCGAATTGAAACGACGTTCGCGGCTAAGATAAACAGTTTACACAATTTACGTACAGCATACTTTCATAGTGACATTGACGTTTACGTCTTACTTATTGCCACCATGAACTAAAAATATATGTTTTTATTATTCGAATATGATAAAAAAAATCTATTTACTCCCTTGCTAAGTTTCCATGAACTCATGATATATTGAACTGACAGTTTTAATACAATTGATTAGAAGAAACCACCTAAGAACAGAATTTTCAAAGAAAAAACAACATTGCTTCAAAATCAAACAAGCATTTAATGCATCTTTTCCTTTATACATATACAATTAATAAGTGATTTTATGTTCTTGACTTGTCTTTCAATTAAAACCACAATATAGCGCTAATTATAGTATACCTTCCCATCAAAACATTAATAGTTTTAAGAAATGATGTTCAGTATTCAGTACTCGTCAATGATCAGTAAGTTTTCTGGTTCATACAAAGAGGTTAAAGAATTCAAAGCTTATTCGTATATTGTATTGATATATGAATATAACTGAATATATGTTTAGTATTCCGACTTTCGTACTTTGGAACCTTTCTGTAACATTTGCAAAAGACTAGGTCATTGACGAAATACTTAAAATTTCACATATATTTTTTTTTATTCAACATTGAGTTGTAATTATACATATATGTAAGTGTAACCTCATCTCAAATTAAAGATTACAATTAAATTTTATTTGTTACTTCATAATTTTATTTCAATCGTAGGAGACGTATCCCATATCCTGAGAATATTAATAAGGTTCTAAATAATAGAAAGTGCTAGTTTTAAGTCATTTATTGTTATATGTATTGTTTCACTTGGCCTTCACAACTGCTTTCCCTGTATTCTCTCCTCTTAACATACCCACGAAGGCATCCACCATCTTGTCAAATCCATGGTAAACCTTCTCTTTGTACTTCAACTTGCCTTCCTTCAACCAATTCAGATTTGCCATAATACCTTCTTGCCATCTATTAGCCCAACGACTAACTACGAGTCCTTCAATCTTAAGTTCGTTAAAAACGATCGAAGGCTGGACTATTGAAGCTATAATAAAAAAGAAAAATATATACACTACCATATAATTAGAAATACATTTTTCAACATTCCAATATTGTGTGAAAATATTAAAAAATACATTACTAAGATTTTTTTAATTTTAAATATTTAATATATGTATTTTGTTTCAATTACCTTTAGGCACAGTTGTATCATTGTAGGACGCGATAGCACCGCAGACAGCCACTCTACCGTATTTGTTCATATGGCTCATTATTGTGGAACTGATTTCACCTCCCACCTACATTATATTAAGATGAATTATTTTTAAATCTCTCTTTACCAGTAATAATATTTACTTAAATTTATTTTTAAGAATATTACTTACATTATCGAAGTAGCAATCGACGCCATTTGGAGCCGCTTCCTTTAAGGCCGACTTTATGTTGGCTGTCTTGTAATTAAACGCGTAATCAAAACCCAGTTCTTTTTTCAAATATTGACATTTCTCGTCAGAGCCCGCGAATCCAATGACGCGGCAACCTGGAATATAAATTTTACGAACTTATTGAAGATAAATTTTTCGTTTGAAATTCCAATCTTAATTTTTATTTTTTTTTGTTATGTTATCACTTATCAAGCATCCTACCTTTAATTTTTTTCCTTATTGCAATAGCACAGTAATGTAAAATTGAATTTTTAATCGTTCTCACCAAAACAATTATATGAGAGTTTCTTATATACTACAAATTGTATTATATTATATTCTTACCCAAAATCTTCCCAATCTGTCCCACGTGAGAACCAACAGCGCCAGCCGCACCCGTCACTACCAGAGTCTCACCAGCTTTAGGTTGGCATAACTCTGTAAAGCCAAAGTATGCCGTATTTCTGGAAAAAAAAAATATTTTTGAAACATTCTATGACTTTTCATGTAATTTTATAGTTTACCTATGATGCGGTCACTGTTAGTTTTTATATAATAAATACAATTAATGAACAAAGATATCACAATTGAAGCTGTTAAATTCTTTACATTTATAAATATTATAATATCGCTCACCCTGGCATCCCCAGAATACCCAGCGCCAATGAAACAGGATACGGACCAAAATCTGGTAAAACTTCGACTGGCATTAGTTGGCCGGGGCTTGGATTATCGTAATTGTAAACAGTGTGCGTCCTCCAACCCAATGAACCAGTCACATAACTACCAACTGGTACTTTAGAGCTACGACTCTGGATCACCCTGGAAATGATTTTCTATTAAACTAACCATTATAAGTCAGTGGTGGCCTAATGGGGGTGCGGGTTCGATCCTGGCCCGGACAAGTACCAGTGCGTTTTTTCCGAGTCATATGTACTTTCTAAGAGTATTTAGACATCACTGATTAATGCATTCCCAAAGAGGGTTGATATCAGGCAGTCAGCAGGTTGTAAAAACAATTAGCCAAAACTATTTGCAACATGTAAGGCAGACCCTGGCTAAAGCTGGGAAATTGCCAGGAAGAAGAAGAACCATTATAAGCTCTCTAAACGATTTCGCAAATAAAACATCGTTTGGATCTCGCTGTCTTGCCAGTGTGAAAATAAATGTAGCAATCAAATTAATGCTAAGATCTATTTGTATAATGCCAAACTGAAAATGCACATGTCAAAATTAAATAAGAAATTCCTTTTTTCTTATTATTATAACTCACTTAGCCACTTGTCCTCCAATCATGTCGGCTGGCATTTTAAAGTTTATCATATAAGCACGCATGTAAGGATCAACACTCAAGTATTCAGCTTCTGTTAAAATCTCTGAAATTACAAACACCTATTTAGTTTTTATTACAAAGAGCAATATTATTAGTCACAATAGATATGAATTAAATATATAAAACCTTAATTATGTATATAGAATATAATTGAGTTTTTACGAAACTGGCATGTAACTTTGCATATTTCTTTAAGTATTTGTGTATATATTCATCGAAAAGTAATTTCGAAACAAACATCTAATTGCTATGAATTACCATAAAAGTTATGACAAAAATATCTTCATCTATTTCACTATCTATAGATTGATTTAGATAGAGAAAATAGAATGTGTTTGTAATATTAATATAAAAATTGTGTACTTTTTTCTATATACCTATTATTTAAAGTTGTTTTTTATTAAAGTTGATTTTTATTTATACATTTTTGCATTTAAAATACAAAAAAATTACTATCATATTTTATATGTAGTTTTAAAGTAGGTATACATTACAGTCGCCGGTAACAGAAAGTTATCAACTTATTATTTTTCTCTTAAGACTACTGACTTTTTCATTACTATAATATTAAATAAAAATCATAATACATCACCTCCATCTTTTAATTGAGGAAGTTCCTCTTCAACGACAATAAAATCGCTCTTTTTAGGTTCTCCTTCAAAGTGTTTGGTAAGTACGTATTTTTTAGCCATTATTCTGTTTGCCATTTTTAAGAAAAATCCTACAAAAGTAACAAGAATTTCCGTAAACACTGTGAAGGAACATGTAACATTAATAAAACACATACAAATAGCCACAACTAAAGTTAGAACAACTTAAACTTGCTAAAACCTTGCTTATATCTTGTTTTAATAATAATAATTAAGTATAAACTTCTTCGTATATTTTACTAAAATCTATTATAGACTAAGCAAACTACGTGTCCTATACTTACAATTAGTATTTTATAATAACCTGTAACACAACACTTCTGAACGAAGTCACAACTGGTGTCAACTGATGTTTTGAGACGAATGATGATATCAAAACATTGAATCTCCTATATTATATAGATGTAAATCTATTTATAACTCACTGCAACTGACATGGCGTCTGTATAATGTATTATGTAATAGTTCCAATAAAGGAATTCTTTGAATAAAAAAGTTTTCAGTATGAACAAGATATATTTTTTTCTAAATAAGGTTTCTTTTTTAATGCCACGTATTTTCGTTCTAAAAACTTTTAATATCTAAACACACAAAAAATGTTATGGCTGTATAGTTATTAACATCTAATTAGATCTTTAAAAAAACGAATAATTCTATTGATAACTATAATTACTTGTTTATTATTCTGTACTGTTAGAATAATTAGGGATTATTTTATGTATTTAGAAACGTCACCTTACAAATACTATAAAAGTGAAAATATTTCAATGGATCAGTCATTTGCTGGTTATTTTTAATACGAAAAAGTTTTCGTTGTGAGGTATCATCGCTTTATCGTAGGTATCTATTTTTTAGTAAGTAGTTTTCAGTGGTGATACCCATATTAAATTTATTAATGATATTGCATTTTTGTTAATCTTTGATTTTAATGTTAAATTTTGTAACGTAGCAATAAATAATTGTTATTTGTGTTACTCGATATTTTTAAATATACTTAATTCGGCTTTAATTCCTAAAATCAGAAGTGGGATTCACCTACACATCGATATAAATTAGATTCGTTTTAAGAAACAGCTGTTGTATAGAAATGGCTCGTTCATATCGGGTTGATTCTGATGATAATATGTCACTCCGTTATAAAGCAAAGCATAAGCGTAGCAAATCGTGTAGACGCCGCGCCCTCGCAATCCCCGTTCGCTCCTTCACCTTGACTCGTGGCCTCGGTTACGTACAAACATTCTCTTTCAGGTTTTAACCAATAATTATAGTGAATTCAACACCTTATGCTCTACCCTTTTGTCAACGGTATTAGTGAGGAACTGATGGTTCAAATAGTGTTACGAGGTATTAATGAGGCCCAGGTCCGAGCCGCGGCAGTGAACAATGATCTAACTATTGATGTTAATCTAGTTGCGTTCTTTAGGTAACAATTCACTCTCAAGTAGCGAAGTAGTAGTGTTTCCTTCCTTCAGTGGAATG